GACTTCTCAAGACTTGGGACAAGTGACTTCTCAAGACTTAGGGTCTAGCCCTGATAGGGAAGGGACAGGTCAAATTTAGAAAAACAAATTTCAAATTTTTCGAAAAATCAGAAAACGCTGCAAACCTTCTGAAATGCGCACAAAACCAAAAATTTTCGGAAAATTCGGAAAAAAATTAAAACTTGAAAATTTTCAAAAATTCTTAGTTTTGTGCGCTTTTTGGACGATTTGCCACGTTTTTCGATTTTTCGAAATTTTTCGGAAAAATTGAAATTTCTCAAAGGGGTACCCCTTTGATAATTTTCAAAATTTTTAGAAATTTTTAAAAAATTAAAAACGGCTGCAAATGGCGTGAAACGCGAAGAAATCTAAGAATTTTCGAAATTTTCGACAAAAATTTTGAATTCAGCAAAGACGAGTAAGGCACAGCCCTAAACAAGCAGAGAAGACTTGGGACAAGAACTTCTCAAGACTTGGGACAAGTGACTTCTCAAGACTTGGGACGAGTGACTTCTCAAGACAGTAATCTGTCGATTCTCGCCTCTGAAGTACGCCAAATGTTTCAAAGAATCTGCAAAGCGCCCTTATCGCGTGTTGTTGCTGGAGTCTTAACTTACAGAGCAGTCTACACAGGTGCTCGGAACTTTAATGGGATAACACAGGCACACAAGCCACAAGAACGTAAGAAACGTGTCAACCAGTCTAAGAAGAAACATCAGTAACCTTCCAATTACTTATACAGAATAATAATATCGCTGTGTTAATAAGAAATAAATGTTGTTCACTTCGTTAAATCTGATGACATGGGTAAAAACCTTTCTCTATTAGTGTGTGTGTGTGTTTTGATTACATTGATTTTGTGCGAACATGCTTCTGATCGCACCTTAAGCCTAGTACATCAATGTGACGGGTCTTGTTGCTTCAATCAATTCGAACATGAAGGAACTGAATCATGTAAGAAAAATATTATTATATTGCTCCGTTTGTAGTGTTCCAAAGGAATATTTTGCCTTTTACCATGTACAGTAATTTACAAGTTTACATGTAACTCTACATGAATATCATGCTACTTGAAACAAACTGATATTAATACCCTGCAATTAACTGAATATATCGACATGGCAGCAGTGCGAACTTTTGAGATGGGAACAACACTCACTCCATTCAGTGTAAAATGTTGATGACTCGTATTGTGGAGTATATTTAAAATAATGCAACTATTATAAGTGTAGATGTGTAGTTTTTAGGGAAATAACATATTGACAACGACAAATATTTTTATGAAACAACGCAATTTGCTATCAGAATTTAATATCGTGACATGATATAGCATAAACAAATCTTATAATAGTATGTGTCATAATACAACATTTTTCATTTTTACAGAATGTGGATAGCAATTATTAACCCAAACTGTGTGTGAAATAAAAGACGTCATTTGTCTGTAATTACATGTTTGAGCGGAATTCTTAATGGGAGAATTTATATTACTTAAAATCTTATTTTTCTACATGTCAGCTTCTGTAACAAGAATCAACATCATAGTACCTTCATCCTTCAACGTGGTCCATTTGAATCATATGAAAATATGAATGTGCTGAAAGATGGAGAAAGTGATCATTCATTTACAATGATTCACACATTGTGACATCAGCTGTGAGGTGTAATTGATAATGAGTCTGACATAATAAAACATATTTAATAAAACAATGTTCTTTGTGAGGTTACTTATTTTTACAGCTGTCATCAAGACAATCTCGTCTTCTACTGCCGCATCTCATTTCCCCAACAGATAGTTTGGCGAGTAACGAGCGGTCTTTGTGAGAAATTACGTTTTACATTTTTGTAGTTAGTAACTTCAATTTTGATTTTAACACAATGTAATAAACGTTATAAATAACCGGTGTAGTTGAATTTCCCTTTAAAACAATGACTACGTATGCTGATAGCTGTCTTCTGGGTTGTTGCGCCGTGTAGTCTGGTAGAATTTTACCGACGTTTCAGAGGCCCTTGCTGTCTCCATCATCAGGGCGATGAAAGGTCGGTAAAATTCTACCAGACTACACGGCGCTGCAAACAAGTGGACAGCCATCTTCAAAATCACAGCCGCGAAAACCTCAAATCCTTCAATAACTACGCAATTACATACAAATTGTGTTACGTAACTTTTAAGAGATTTGTATGCCCTACCTAAACGAAATCAAAACTGCGTCATACCGACATAAAATAATTTTCCTTTTGAACGATTATCTGATTATTGAAACTTAAGTCGGCTCAACTGTACTCGCTAATATTTAAAATTAACAAAGTTCTTATTGAAAAGCTAGTTCCTTTTTACATATTAAGTATGCATGTTAGACCAATAGCTACTGAATTCTATGCATCCAAGAACTTCTTTAGACGCCTATAGTGGCTCAGCGAGTCAACCAATACTCCGCCCTTTAAGGAACCGGAATGTTCATTGCCGTATTCACAAGAGCTCGCCACCCGCCCCTCTCATGAGTCAGACGAATCTAGTCTGTACCATCATATTCTATTTATTAAAAATACATTTTAATATTATCCTCCCACGTACGCTTACGCCTGTCTTCGGTTCGTGCTACATATTCCAATTATCTTAACCTCCTTGATTTGACCACTCTGATTACGTTTGGTAAAATACATATTCAATTTTTATTCTATTGTTTAGGTTAATTTCACAGTAAAATTTTCTGCTCTATCAAGAAAAGTAAAATTTATGACAAGACACCAAATCGAATAATGTCTTCTGTGTCCGTCCTGCTACCCCTTATCAAATTCGATTGCAGCACTGCCTTACAGATGGCAACTGCTCCGACAAGTATGTGATGAGTGTAGTCTACACTATGTTCCGAAGGCGATCTCCTTCATCCTTCGTTACGTAACAAGCTTCGGTCAAGACTGAATATTTTTGTTAATACGCAATGAAAAGTAAGGTATTGCATTAAAGGCTGCACGCTCTTTCTTGGTAGATGCTTTTCCATCAGAGTGGATGTTACAGAGCGGAATCATAAATGAACCGTGAGTTGGAAATGACGTGAAGATTAAACGGTGGCAAATTCTTAAGTAACGTGGCAGCATTTGTTTGAATGGGTTAAGGAACCGTACGTAACACTAATCAGGAATTTAGAATACATACATAATTTTGATATGGAAACTCATGGAGATAGAGGCACCACCTGGGAAATCGAGACGTGTATGTGAGGGGGAGGGTGTGTGAATTGGATTGAACTAGATCAGAGTAAAGTGCTTTGGCAGAACAATCCTTGAGTTTTATAACATGGAGATTTCTTGGATAGATAGTGGAGCTGTTAGCCCGGTAGCTGAGGCTTACGTCCGCTAACGTCGCAGTGGTCGGAGTTGGCTAACGATGCATTTCATCCTATCGGCTACAGTGTACGGCGTAAAACTGAGCCACGGAAGTAAGCTATCACATTCTATTTTTCGTTTTTCGATGTGTTAGCCAGGTTAGCACGGTTAACATGACGGGTTATAAGCTTGTTAATTTAAAGGCAGCTTCTCAACTGCACAGGTTACATATCGCCGAATGTCAGAATGTGTTTGATGGATGAATTCGGATGGTTCTTATAGGTCATGGACTATTTAGGACAGTATATCAGAATATTTCTGTAAAGACGAACAAACATAATGAATGGTCTCTAGATACTCGACACCCGTCATTATAAAGGGAGATGGGACCTTACGATTAATACGTACAAGTAAACATCATCATAGTCGTTCATAAGACATTGACTGTTATATTTATTTGAAGGTGAAATAACTCGAAAAGGCTTATTTACACTAAGTCCTGAGATCATTGGTGGGGCAGCTTAATATGTGACAATCGCTACGCCCCAAGAGTTTCTTTGGCAGCCTTAATCCATTCCACATAATGAGAAACTCGGGTGTAAACTCCCGGACGGTTCCTCTGGGCACAACCATCACCCCAGGACACGATACCCACCAACACAAAGCGTCCTGTAATCACAATGAACGGGGTAAGTGTACGTACGGCAGCCTACACGGTTAAAGTGAGCGATAAGGCGTATTTCAATTCGAATTAAATATTTTTACGTTTAATTATTTACCTGTTTCTTGTTTTAATATTCTTATTAAACGTCATGTCAACACAATGCCTTTAAAGACCACCTGCAACTTTATACTTAATAATTTCCTTAATGACAGCAAAATTTTGTCCTTGCAAACTTCTGAGGTGACAGCTACGCTTGAAAAACAATTATGTTACTGAGAGTTTATGTGGTAATGGATTTCCAGAAAATATGCAAGTCGTGTTAAAGTTTTTCTTCTGCGGAATGTTAAATAACAACGCGGATCCACATGTAGTTTCTGGTCTGGAGGCTAAAAGTAACGAACCATTAAGACTAAGCATTCAAACCTTTGTGTAGAGACGAAAATAAAAATATACAATTCTTATACTAGTAGCAGCATACCAGCCACGCCATCTCATACAGGAAGCATTTGAAGAACAGAAAGTTTTTCCCGAAACTTTCTTCTTTAAATTAAATCCATGGCGTAACAGCTCCAGAGAGCCAAAGCCGACTAACTTGACTGCTGGCCTCACGTTCACATGCCGAAGCAGAGGTGAACGATCATCCAACCAGATATAGGGTGACGACGAACCCCCAGCCACTGCTAGCTTTCCTGACCGGATTACGCTACATATCGTAGCTCCCCAATTTCCTCACGATGCTGGGTTGGCACCGGTCCCATACACTGGTCGAAAGCTCATGAGAAAATTTCTTCTCCCCCGAGACTCGAACCAGTGCGCATTCCGTATCGCCGGTCCGAAGCACGACGCCTCAGACCACGCGGGACAACTTTCTTCTTTAACGCGGAAAATAATGGACATACAACTAATTTGTGTGTATCTTATTTCATAAAAATTGTTGTAAACGAGAAGTTGGAATATTTTTAATCAATCATCACCCACTATCTGACTATTTGTCTGTCTGCCTGTTTATATAGCAGATTCCAGTTAATTGGGCCATCAGTTAATCGGGGAAGCCGTTTATTTGGGATAAACGGTTTTAACTCTTTACGTGGAACTTCGCATAATTGAGGCAGACACTTAACTGGGCCAAAGTTTTCCAGTCCCGATGTGCCCCAATTAACCGGAATCCACTGTAGTGTCTTACAGACGGATTGCTTCTTACCGTTGATCTCGCATGCAAGGGGCCCACCAGAGTCTCCGCCACAGGCATCCACCCCGCCCTCCAGTCTCCCCGCACACAGCATGCTGTCCAGGATAGACTGACGCCGACCGCCGTACACATCGTCTCTACGGCACGTGTTCAGATCCAACAGGGGCACTGCTGCTACCTGCAGGACCTGAGACAGGCTGCTGTCGACGTCTTCGGCTGGAACAGAACGCGTTGTTTGTGATCCAGGCAAGAGGCCAAGGCGAGCGTTTTGTACTTGAGATCTGTACTCACGCCTCTGAGCGCCCCAGCCCGTCACCGAGCACCAGGAACCTGCTGCACTCTTCGTCTGCAGCTCCGGCAGACAGATGGGCTTCACGTGAGAGTTGAAGCTGATACCTCCGTCATTAAGCGCCTGCACTTTGATCAGTCCGATGTCATTACTGTAGGGTCCCACTGGAAAAGGCAACCAATTAGCTCTCACAGATCATTTCAGAAATAAATCACAAACAGTAAACAATAATCTAATATATAACTGAGTAAGTAAAATTAATTATTCTATGTCTTGATTTAATGTACGTAATTACATCTGTCAACACAAACCACGTATATAAGTATTCTTGCAAATGCATTTTGGCAGCTTAGGCCTTCTTCGGGCATCAGACTTTTTGGGCTCAGAACTATGTTCGGGTCAGTGACCTTTCCTTAGGGGTGTCTGACTGGGTTGCGTGAGAGGAGGTCTGGATCACTCTGGCTGGGGATTCCCCTGCTCCGTTTCGACGTCACTTACACTGGCAGAAATCCATCACATCTCCACGTAAACTGGAGTTGTTCTTGTCAGATATCAAACAAAAGTGGAATGTGTACCAACAAATTTTATTAAAACTCCTCAACTTCAAATTTCATGAAAATCCGTTCAGCGGTTCTCGAGTTGTTACATGTAGACAGAGGGGGCGAAGTTTATAGACGCATTTCTACAACTTTGTTTCGAACGCACCTAAAATTCGTTACAGAAACAAAACCCAGAAATGTTCTAAACTTATGTCAGTTGCACCAAAATGTCAGGTCAATAAAATGAATACTGAAACCGCGGTAACGTGTCACCTCACCTTTCCTGAAGTCAGGGTGAACGAGAGCACGTTCCACCCTGAAGATCTGCTCGTGCTGGTCCGTCACCTGCAGGTGAAAGTCGCCCACCACGACTGTCAGCTGTTCGGTCTCTTCACTCTGCAAGCAGTGTGCAGCAGTCAGCACCAGGCGTGGTCCGACCACCGCCCCCCCACAGTGGTGCTCGAAGCGACGCTTGCCTGATCTGTATTGCTTGATCTCCACCTGCAAGAGCACAGTTTTTCACACCAAGCAAAGGAGTGGCCCGTAAACTTCGACATCAGTGGAGACTCGCTACGGAACTGGATGGTCGAGATTCAAATCACGATGGTTTTTCTCTGTTTGTAAACACTTCTAGAAGGGTTCTTGGGCCCACCCAGCAGTTATTTTATGTCAAATGCGTTGAAGGGAAGCTCTTTATCCCATGGCAACTTGCTATGGCATATAGTTGACCGCTCACAACCATCTGTGCTTAGTTTATTGGTATCTAGGGAGTGGAAACACGGACGCAAAGACTAAACCAAGCAAACAAGAAGTCGGTGGCTGTAACCAAGTTCACTGTACATTCTAAATGACATTTAACGGCTGTGCCCGAATTTATAACTTGTGTTGGGCAAGACCGTGGTCTAGGCAACACGGAGTTTTCCTCCGGGGGCTTCCCCGGTTTCTCCGTGGCATCCCAACAATTACTCCATTCACACACAGAAGAAGGCAATGGCAAACCACTTCTGGATCATCTGCCACGAACGTATATGAACAGGTCCCAGTCCGAGAGAAGGATCGAAGGATCCTGTTCATATGGACCTGTCGGCAGACAGAACACTAAATAAAATAGTCGCCTATACGCACTGTCACCATAGGAACTACAGTATTTCCCAGACTGTCAGCTGTTCTGCTATAGGAAGCCGAGACATTCCTTCCTTACACAAGTTTGCGTCCATTTAAAGGCTGCGCGAACGAAATATAAGGTTGAGGTAAAAAAACAAACTGATTAACAAATTATAAGGGTTTAACTACTCTTATTTCAACAGCTGATATTATATAGCATCGAATTAGATGGGATTGTGAAAATAAAACCTATGTTATAAAAATACTTTGAAGAAGGTGGCCTGGTCTGAAGATACTATAAAACATTCATCTGGAGAAAATTAAAAAACGTAAATAAAAATATTAAACAGGATCCTCGACGTGCGGGCCACGATTAGATGTGCACACCCCAAACATATAAAAACAGCTCACACCCAGCACGCGATTGTGACACTCACCTGCCACGGATACGCTCCATATGGGGCGACGGAGCCCCCCACAATTTTAGCAGCAGCCTGGCCGGCCCTTGAAGGCTCATGCGTCACGTCTCTCGTCCCGCAAGTAGGGGGCGGGTACTCATGTAATGGGAACTTGGGATAACCTCCACTGCGAGTGTGTCTGTGCGGGGCTGCAACATGAAACCTCGTTACTAACCCAGGACTCACGCCAGCATTCTGAGGCTTAAACACCTTTAAACACTTCTAACTAAACAGTGAGATGTCCAGACCATGAATGGTAACTTACATTTACGTGGGACCACAATGGGACATTTCCACCTGACCGCTGGCCGCGAGACAAATTATATATTTAGAATATTCTTAAATTCCCCGAAATAGTCTATTATTTACATTAATTTCATTATTCTCAACATACATATGAAAATACAATCCCATTATTATTACTATATTCGGACATGGTAACCTAAAACAAACTGATATTTTTCACATCTTGAGGTATTCGGACTTTTTTAGGAAAGTAGATTTGTGTGGGCTAGTGACATTTTCTGGACACTGCATAGATGTCTGCACCGACCTGAGCTCTGTAGGAGCAGACCTCCTTCTTCCAGAGGGGACGTCTTGGCCAGTCGACTCACCAGAAGACAGATCACATGAAGTCTCGCTAGTGCTGACATCCTGCACACTGATCTTTATTCTACTAGATTCTGGTAAAATTTCTGCAAAATTGAAAGCAGTCGTCAGAGCATAATCTCGGGACGTGTCTGCAGTAGCATCAGATCTGGAAAGGTTCAGCATGCAATAAAACATCTACCAGCATCAAATTTAAAAGAAACAAAAATTAATAAATAAATATGTCTGATTATTTTCGTATGGTATATTGAAGTAATTTATTCACTAAAATCGAGCACTAAAATGCATTATTAGCGATTTATAATTGTCTTTATTCTGAAAAAAAACGTGAGCGGTATTATTCTTTCAATAATGCCTTGTTTATAGGACGCAAGAAGATAAATATCACACAACTAAGAATCTAGAAAAAATTCCTACACAACATATAAAGTGTCATCTGAGGTTAAACTAATATTTTCGCGATTTCCTTCCTAGAGAAATCAGAATCCGTAATCCTCAGCCGAAAATTATGTTTATTTCCTCTTTTATTTACTGCTCCCAAACACACACGTGACCCGAACAATCTCCAAGCCCCAGTAGCTTTAACTTCACAAATAATTTTCATTTCGAAATAAAAGGAGGTCAGTGTACCTATAAATTTTAATTATGCAATTTTGACCAGACCGAAGCAGACGCTCCTTTCTGAATAAAAAAAAATCACAAGTTCCATCGTCCATGTAATGCGTTATTATAGTTTGTGAATTTGTCTAAAAATAACATTGATACAGAAAATATTCCGCCGTTGCCAATTTTTGCCGGCAAGCTCCCTAAAACTTTCTGCGTTCTCAAAATAGGGTCGCGAACCACTGTTTCTAACTATTTGAGACAAAAACGACTTACTTTTCTTGGTCGACTTTCTGAAGCACTTGAAATCAAGGAGAAAACCATCGATCTGCGTTGTTCCAGTTGCGAAATCTGAAATTAAAACAGTCACTGTTTCATTTCCAGGCTGCGAGATTTGTTTCAGACTTGTCTTTACTTTATGGGAACTTCGGCGCACAGAGCAGAGAAATTCTGAACCCAAGTGAGGTTAAACCACAGAACTATGGAGAAACGCATTCAGGTCCAGAGACCTTAACCGCGAAGGTCAAAATTAACGAACATGAAAAGCTGAATGGATTACAACTATGCAAGATGTGGCACAGCCTATTTTTTTTTTAATTACATTTATTCAGCATGCCCCATTACAAGATTGCAATATTACATGCATTAATATATAGCCCGTTAACAGATTACACAACTGCAATATCATTATACATTGTCACCGTTTGCACATTACTTCATTTTGAAATAATCCGAACGGTGTTGTGTTGCAATGCTTCGTATATTAAAATCCTGGGTTCAGGGCTGCTATTTGTAATTCTTCTCAGTTCTCGACGCTACATGCAGTTAATGTGACTCACAACAAGGATCAACACAGTCACTACATGGGAACTGTATTAGGAACATACGAATTTCACTTAGGAGCGATTTGTTTAAGAGGAAGGATTCGTGTGTTTGCTAATTGCCAATTGTCATCTCTCTTTGATGAGTACAGTGCGAAGGGAAAGTGATTTCTAAAATGCACCCACTGACATACTCTACAGAATAGAACCTGTTTACTACACGCAACAACGGCAGATGTGCGCGACCGCTGTAACATGAATAATGACTGTTTTATATAACACTTCAATTTAGAAATGCAAAGTGCCTGGTGGCTTATGAAATAAAGTTTTCACTCCGGTAAACATTTGGATTCTGGTCTTCTGAATTGTTAACGCCGTGGACTACACCCAGAGGACCACAATTTAAAACATACTGGTCCACTGTGTCTTTCCATATTTACGTTCTCATGGACCAGTTTCTACCTCCTAGAAAGGATTTTCATTCTTTTTAAATTTTAAATTCATGTGTCTAGTTTTACCCATCACAAATTCTACGACCTAGGAATATATTAAAACGATGGGCGGGACATATAGCACACATGGAGAAACAATTAACACACACACATCAATTTCGTTTAAAAAGAAAAAAATAAGAGAACACTCAGCACATCTGAATGTAGAAAAGAGGATAATAATGTTTGTAGCACATAAAGCAGGAAGTAAGTACGTGAACCGGAGATTCGAGATTTCCGCAGCGGTGATAATGATACGTTCTTTTCTCGGTTTCGACGCCACGCAGAATCGTCAATAGATGTCAACAGCCACAAGAACATCATCATCATGTCAAATGGATTTCAGTGTGTCAGTATAAAGTAAAATGTTGGGATTTTATGACAACAGCAATGAACCCGCAACTTCCATAACAGCAGCCAATTTTCTGACCAACTGATCATTACGTTCTCAAGGGAGACACGCGGCATGACGTCTCCTCTGAGAAATGCCGGTCAATCAGGCTCGCCAATCCACACGTGATAGTCTACGGACTTACGTTACTCTGAAGAATGTTGTAAAATTGCGACAAAAATAATTTGGTTTCTCAATTCACAACATCCTTGCCAATAAATCTTTCACGAGTGGTTTCATTTAACGCTGTGCAACTTCTGCAGCTAAGACAGCGTTGTTAAACCGCGGAACACACCTACACAGTGAAACGATATGATCGGTTGTTACAGGGAAAAGAAATGTCCTTAGAGGCGTGGCTGAAGTCAGGTTGACAGGACACTCCCTGTTCCTGTTTGTGTGGGTCAAAGTCATTCAGAGAACAGAACTTGATCTCTCCCACTGTCACAACCACGACGATCACCCACGACATGATTGAATTCTGTCAACTTTGGCATGCTGGTTTCAGTATTTTTCTCGTTTCCGTGTAGGTTTGAAATTCCATGATATCTTCGGCCACTCCATCTGCAAGTCCTTTCAATCTCTTCGTGCACAGAATAATGCAAGAGACATACTCGTGGCCACCCCAGTCTGCAAAGTTGTATCAACTTGGAAGGCAACCCTTTTGAACACTTAATGCAATTATATACGCGCTTTAAATATACGTATTTGTAAAGACAGATGTTAAAATTCATATTTTAATGTCCATTCTGGTAAGGGTTCCAAAGTTTTTCATCTCTCATCCTTTTGACGTAAATTGTATATCTAACTTTCATTAATAACAGTGCATTTTTACACAAAACCAATTTGAGTCGTTCCATGTACTAGTAACTAGTGACTGAATGCTTATGAAGAATATAAGATTCAAAAGGTGGAGACAAAACGTTTTCAGACTCAGATGTGGTAACTGCAAACAATTCTGTTCGTGACTGCAAGTCTGGGGAGGTATCAAAAGAGATTACTCGAGGAAACCACATCCTACAATTCTACGTGAGAGGTTACCATTTGGATTCCATCTACGCTCGAGATATCTACATTTCAGATTATATTCTCTAGGGATTTTCGATTTCTGGTTACGTATTACAATAATCGGGTAATTTCTCATTGTAAATGATGTCCTATTAGAGTCTCGAGTGCGTTTACTTTTTCAGAGGCTGAGAAATGTAAAGCAACAGAAACATGGATATAGTTACATGTAAATTCTTAATAAAGATAACTGTCTTCTGGGATGTCACGCCGTGTTGTCTGGTAACAGTCTACCTAAGTTTCAGAGGTGCTTTCGGTTTCAATCACCAAGGCGGATAATGGACGCAGCAAACACCTCTGAAACGTCGGTAACCTTGTACCAGGCTAAAAACAAGACAATGTGGAACAAACAACGTAGAATACCGGTTTCAGTTGAACAAATTTCTATGAAATTTTAAATAGGCCACTGACAGGTAATTCATCAAAATGACCGTCATATTACCATAAACATAAACAACTTTTCCCGTCCGCTGCCTATTTGTAATATCTTAGAAATCGTCATCACAGTTGACACAACACGACACTAATGGATTGCTTCAACACGAGATGTCCATTAATGATGGTCTCAAAAGAAAGTCCTGGAATTCTGGCAGTTTGTAGTTTCCTATCCAGTTCAATTTCTCCCGCGCGTGCGCTTTAACCAAGCGAAAGACTCGAGCCGATGTTGCACGTTGCAACGAATTCTGCGAAACCTGACTTCCAGACTGAGGGTCGCCAGACAGTGCCCGCCCCGAGGAGAAACAACGTTTGTTAACCTCGGGACAGAAATGTGTTACATGAGAATGAACAAGTTTATGAATATTCTATATCATACTCCCGTTCTCCTTAAACTAAGAGCCCACTATTTCAAAATGGCGAATTAGAAACTCCAGTTTCTATGATACAGATGCCAGACTTCATTTCACGAAGGCCAACTGAATTGTTCCAATAAAGCAAAATGTCTTCTTTCGTTCGTGTATTCATGGCTACTTAAATATACCTTCCGTTGTCAATACTGTTCTCGGTCGTGACGTCGGAGGAACACACTGTCTCCATCTTCAGGGCTGAAGATTGAGACAGTATGTCCCTCCGAAATGTTGTGAAAACTTCAAATTTCAGATAACCTTTCGTTGAGTGAATTCCATGGATAATTTGTATTGAAATAATGGCAAAAGAATTATTTGTTTTATACAGAGTTTGTTAAATGCCAAAGTTATTCATAGCCGAAGCGATGGCAGCTCGTGGCCTGGGCAAGAAATCTCGTTTGCAATCAGCGAAGTGCAAAGAGGACGAAACCTTGTTTTAATCGCAATCGAGAGAAAAATAATTCTTACATTCTTAGAAATTCGAATTTGACAGGACATCGTTTAAAAATAAAACGCTACATAACTTATAAAACTGCGGAGATGTTGTTAAACAACTGAAGAAACAGGATATCCGGGTGCTGTACGGGAATCGAAGTAGGGAGGTCCCGCATTGTGATCAAAGGACGGCCGACAATGCATCAGGAGCACGCACACTGGAGTAACCTTGCCGCAGGATGTGGGTCACCGATGAACCTGAAAGTGAGAGTCTATGTCGTGGTTGAGCGCGGATGAACAAAGCTCCGACGTACCGCGTCACGACGCGTTTTCTCGTCAAGCGTTTGTATCCGTTTCAGATGCAACACGATCCAGCAAGTATCAACTGGGCACGAAGAACGACACAGAAGTGTTTCTCCGGACAGGGCGGACACCGAACGACCCTAAACAGCTCTCTTGCCGCCAGCCGAATGTTGAGCAACGAATTACCTAATAACCTTACAATTAGCCAAGTTGTTACACCACGACTGACATGTGGCGACGAAGACAACAGCGTTCCAGGAAGCTGACGCAAGGGAGTGGAGCGACAGTATAGTACCCGGCCCCCCGTCCTAGATTCTTACCCAGGACCTCCCAAACACGAATCCATATCTACAGCCTAGAACTACTTTTGAAAGTCCAGAAGGGCATTCCATTGAAGAAATTGTCGATACGTAGCATCGTTTTCATCCTGCCTTTCAACAAACCGCGCTGCCACAAAACTTTCAACTTTACCCACCCCTGATAAAATACATTGTTTTTGGTCACCTAGTTCTTCTCGGTCCTGGGCCCACACCAACTGCCACGTGCATATGGGAGTTGTATTGTGCCGAAGATGCGCTTTCAAATCTGTCACGTCGAGGCGATACAGGCTACGAAAGGAGGTGAAAGGAAATTGGCTTCGGGAGGGGAAATTAATACAAGGAACACAAAAGAACTGCACCACGCAACCCCCTGCAGGGTTGGGTGAGAGATATGAATCTCTTCGAGGAACAAACACATCTGTCTGGCGCGTTCCACACCCACAACGCGAACTGGAACACTTCCGTTTGTCGCTCTCACATTTCTGGCACCATGTTCGAGGCCCTGATTGGGTAGTCAGTCACTTGGGTCTCAAGAAGGTCCATTCTGTCCTTCCAATTGTTCGTGAGCGTGTGTTAAACAAAGACTCGACGACAAGCTACATCACTGCACGTCAGAGTTACCAACAAGTACATAATTAACTGACCGTACAAAGCAGAATCCTTCTTGATAAACTAATAGTCGCTCAGTTAGTCGAGATAATTCCCGTATTTTGTGGAATCCGAATGTTCATTACCGTGTTCACGACAGCTTCCAACCGCAGCCAGAAGAATCCAATCCAGATCCACACGCCCTAATTTCCCTGAGATACACTTTAATGTTTTCGTCCCACGTGCGCCTAGCTAACATGTGGATGCTAGAATTGATTTGTTCCAGAAAACTGAGTACCACTGAATCACGGAGGATTTCTTATTTTTCGTTTTTCAAAGTTTTAGTCGTGCCAACACGGTTACATGAAATTGTGAAGCTCGTCCATGTTTTAATCTGTACCTAAGAAACAAAATTTAGTAACACTATCAATCACTCCATAAATTATTTGGAAATGTTTCAAAATGTGCCTGCAAATAACAATATTAATCTAAATTATCATTTAAGAAATTGGAAGTGGTCTGTAATGGACTGACTTTAATTTTGCGAAACTACAGAACATCGACAGAACCTGCCAGAGCATGAATCGAGCTCCTCTGTGGTTTCCTTCATGTTGTAAATAAAGGTTAAAACTGCTCGTACTTCCTATTCAATTTGTCGCGTACAGTTTTTGAGGGGGGGCATAAACAATATTTTCAAAGCAGAAACATTTACTTTTATTTCACCATTCCCGATAATTACGATAAATAACTTGTTGGGATTATACCTGTACATTTTTATAAACATAACTTTGACCTCCGCATTCCTTAAAGCTACGCATGAGTCACTGTATGTGAGTTGAGCCAAAAAAAAAACCCATAACCTGGCACCATGCCATGAAGGCATGTGGGGCAAGCATCGGACACTGTTTATATCTTAATTCGAGACCGAACATCTTGGTTACAGTGTTTAACATAGGCTCGCGTTCCAAATCCCACCTCCGTCCACATGAGACTACATTGAGGTGAACGGTCATAAACCTGGAGTTATTATAGTCTGCCTGAGAACGCCATTAGAACCACAAAGTAACCGCGAATCTGCGAGCTGTAAGTTACATGACTCGTTACAGATGTAACAGATAATTCTGATAGCTAACGGCTCCAAATCCTTTCGTTAAGGCATATCTACAATAAAATTTGTCTCATAGCACAGGGCACGAAGAAACGGATATAAGTATATTCGGATATCACATCTACATGGAGCTGTTCGCCCTGATGATGGAGGCAGTAAGCATCCCTGAAACGTCGGTAAATTTCTGCCAAACTAGGCGGCGCAACACCACAGAAGGCAGTCGTCTTCATACTCGTCGCCGTGAGGACATGAAACCTCGTCTACATGGACAGTGCCTGTCATTTCCGGCTTTCGGCTGTCTCCACTTAGGCCCACTGCATTACAGACTAACGATTCCATATCGTTATCTTAATGCGTGACATCTTTACGCTTATCTGAGACAACGTATACGCCATTTTGAAACCGATCAATATCAAAATTTATTAAATAATCTGTTTCTAGTTAAATCAGTCCCGTAACCCAAATGTTTCTTAAACTGTTTGAGACGTTTATAAAGATCGATACATCGACAACTTAGCAGCCATTTAAAATTGCTTCGTCTTCTCTATTTATTCATAAACGGGGTCTTTTTGGAATCATCTCCCTCACAAGAACACATCGATGGCGAAATATTGTTGAGAGGACAGCAACGTGGCAGCAATATAACGTGAAGCTGGTACTTACAGCGTCTCGTGTAATGATGATTCGTGCGGAAGAGCAGTATCATCACTACTAGTACAGAGAGCCGCCCATCCGAACACGGGATGGGATCGGATCGGACCGTCTCACGCGTCCACGTGCTTGTGATGAAAACGCACGTGCGACAATCCTGAACTCTTCTACGCTGAAACTGATAGCGACTACGAAACATGGGAAATATTATATACGACACTGGATTTGGCGGCAGGGTGGTGGAAAAGTAGTGAGTGTGGCCTCAATACAGGCGATTGGTTAGCTGATGGAGAGTCGAAGACCAGGACTTACTAATTGCTTCAAAAACATGTACCTTCAAAACAGACTGTGACGCCATATTGTGTTTCTATCATGTTTACGTACATCGTAAAATACATTTGCGAGCAGGCTTACGTCTGTCCAGTGTTCGAAAGTCAACTACAAGGCAATTACTTGCGGACCGCAAAGTAAACAAGTATTTGCGAGCTCCAAGTTATAAGAACTTTTTACATTCAGAACAATCTGTCTCATAGTGAAACACGTCCAGAGTGCTGTAATTCTGCTGCAAACAATGTAATGCTGGATAATTGTCTGATCATTCTACATAACAGATCGAGTCTTGTTACTTTTCGGTTGTCGGTAAAAAGGGCTTATGTTGTAAAATTTATGTTTGACGTAAGCCCTTCCTATCGAGCGTCAAAGATTTAACGACGCTATCTCTGCTACAGGTATCCAGTCATGGTGTGGCGAGGGTCTAGAAATCTAACACTGGATGACTGGATCGAGGCTCGAACCGGAGACTTCAGAACACGAAGCAGGAGCTAACTACCACAGAAATCGTTCGACACTTATAAGCAGTTAAAAAGACACGGATGATGTGGAGGGAGTGTGTAGAAAGCAGGAGAGACATGGCTGAAGATATGACTAACTCAACGACAATGATGAAACGGATGTTGAGGAGCAGAAGATGAGAGGGCAAACAAATGAGCAACATTCTCGAAACGGTACAATGTTTTTGGTTCAAGCAGTAGACTATTAAATACATACGCAAGGTGAGACTACACGCAGGGGTGAATCTGGTATCAATCATAATTCTGTGCTATTACATCACATGGAAATGTGGGCATATCCGAGCCTCGGTGTCCTATATAATGCAACTCTCACCTAGATATCGCAAGAATGTGGTCGATGCAGGTTCTGAAGCCATATTACCAATTATAGTAACTAGCCACTTCGTTCGATCGACACGCTGTTGCCGCTACGTAATAAGAACCAGCAAGGGTGAGGCCCTAGCCAACAAAACTATTTCCTTATTTTCAGCTGAAGGACTTCCTTCGTGGCTGATCACGACATTATTTTGCAGTCATTAAAACATCTGTCAGTTGGCGCTATTCAGAGCCACTTCACATCTTCAGGATTTAAGCTTACAACTAAGAACAGTTTTAATATTATCCTCCTGTCTTGCATAAATTTACCAAATAGTCTGACCTGGCTGTCAATTTTTTTTCCTTACTTCAAGACTAAGCACGGGTTTGTGGAACCATAATGTCTGTATACGAGTCTGTCTTCCCTTAATCATTTTGAACCAACTTTCAGAAGCTGACTTGTGTTGGGCGAGGCCGTGGTCTAGGCAACACGGAGTTTTGCTCCGTGGCATCCCACCAATTACTCCATTCACACACAGAAGAAGGCAATGGCAAACCACTTCTGGATCATCTGCCAAGAACGTATATGAACAGGTCCCAGTCCGAGAAAAGGATGGAAGGATCCTGTTCATATGGACATGTCGTCAGACACAACACTAATAATAATAATAATAGTTACCACCACTTGCACATGGCGTCAAATCCAACAAGACCAAACCGGCCTTGGCTCCATAGTTTGCACGTCTTAAATTGGAATAAAAATTTTGTAATTGAAATCTAGAGTCCTCAAACAGTCAAGACACAGATAAGTTTTATTAGAGTAATTTTGATGTAAAATGTAAATTACAACACAAATACCGCTCTTTGATAGTACTTGTTGACTGACCACTGAAGTGAAGGACACAAATCGGTCATAAACTTTATTAGAATGATAATATTATCTTTCTGCGTTAAATTTAAAGGCGTGGAGACATTCTTCGGGTTACGTGTATGAAAAACATTAATATGAACTAACTTACGCCATTCAGTATAAATGTAAGTTAACAGATACCTCACTATGAATGTCACATAATTGTTACTAACACTTAAAATTTAAACTATTCGTATCGTTATGCGTCCAGACCGGCTCTGGGGCCCACCCAACCTTCTATCCAATGGGTACCGGGATCCTTTCCTTGCGGCCGGGGAGTGATGCTGACCACTCACCCCCATCTAGCGCCGAGATCAAGAATGAGTAGGAACTATACCTCCTCTCCCCCCAAGCGCCTAAATGGCGTGTAGTGGGGCAGCTTTGCTTTACTTTACTCTACTTATGACAACAAGCAAGAAACCGTTAACGACTTTTTCTGCGACAACCTTACAGATTGAGGCCCCGAGTTCGAATATCTTTTACCACCTTCTTGGCAAGTCTCGAGATGTCCGTCATGGTCATTGCGTCGGGCACGAGGGGCAAGTACACCATTCTCCCTTCCCCCGCCGGCAACACCACTCGTCTCCGACATAAGCACACACATTTTGTTATGGATCAGAAGAGTTGCTTTCTCGTGCGGGTACCTCGATTCGAGGCCTGGCACTTCCATGCGGGTTGTCAGAATCAACAAGTTAGGACCGCGTGTCCCGTCAAAAATTGCACCTCCCCCCCCCCAAGTCAGCCTTGTGGCACATAAATTATTACTAAAATAATAAATAACTCTATGGTGCTCTTTAATAGCCGATAGTTATTCGGCGGATCAAGAGATTGCTAAAAAAAATATGAACGATGTTCTAACAAAATCTTTGAAACATGACATTAATTTCTAAGAGAAGATGTAAAATGTTCAGAGTCTCTGCATTAGTCAATGATTGGGAAGTTAAAGATATTGGCATTCAACACGAAGCGCCCTGACAGCCTAGACTGAACTCGATCCGGGTTCAGCACACACGAGCAGTCACTGGTTTCATAACATTAACCCTTTAAAGTCGAAGCTTACGAATTCAGTCCGTACCGCGAAGAAAACACTTCTCCATTACAAAGATCAACCAGCCGCTGTTTACACGGAGAATCACATGAAATCCGTAAATATAAAATTATTGTTAAAAGCAGCTGATGCATTAGTTGTCACTGGGCTCTGAAGGTGTGTCACGCACGAAGAGAGGCTCTAAGAAACGTTATCTAATCCACGAGTATTATCGATTTTAAACTTGTATTTAAAAATACCCCCGAATCTTCGCCGACAAAATTGGGTTTTAGACAGAAGTCCCTCTGACGGTAATTTCAGGGTCAAAGTCGTCTAGTAGATAGAAACAAACCAACCCAAATGCGTAGTCCCCCCCTCCCTTATTTGCGTACGGAACATCTGTTCCATTACTGTCGCCCTCTTTTCTGTAATAAAACCTCAACCCGCAACGAGTTATCACCAGGACCCCGTCCAGATGGAAACAACTGCAATCCACTTCGATCAACGAACAGTTACGACGGATTATTCCAAACTTAAGACATTTCTTAACATTTTAATTTGTTCGTGTTATGATTTACGCACTTGGTTAATTCGAGCGCTTCACAGTTTAGAAGTCTTTGGATGTTCTTACAAAGAGTGTGAATTTTTATTTCAGAAATCTATGCTGTGGCCAAAAAATACGAAAGTTAAAAACCCTCGTTTTTCTATAGTCTATGCCTTGATTCCGAACGTTGCGGCCATTTTCAAATTCCGAAGTTTTCAGTTCAACTCTCGACCCGGAGACCGGCTTTACTGAGACTTTTCGTAGAAATCACCATAAATTAGAACATGACAATTTCCTTAAATATCATTTCAAATGAATTATTATTTAATCATCCTACAATTCGATACTATATAATCTCAGCTACCGAATGTTTTACACATATAAATGTATTGAACATTTTGGACGATGAATTCCCATCGCCCAGCTGGTATGGCAACGTCTCCTGCATTACGGCGTTACGTGAAGCCTAACTTCAGGCAATAAGCAAAGGTTCGTAACACGCGTCACAATACACAAGACCGCATTCGACGTTTCTTTGGAAAGTAAACGAATGCACAGGAAAGAAATTACTGATATGTGAGCTTTCTAGATCCCTCAGAAAACATAACGTAAAAGAGTAGGATCTGAGATTTTTACGGCTATGAGCATGGCGATGGCTGTCTTCTGGGTTGTAGCGCCATGTAGATTGGTCAACTTCTGCAAGAATACAGACGACAGCCATCTTCATAACTTATAAGAAACTTTATATTCGAACAGATTATATACAACCTCCTAGCTGATACAGAGTTATTATATAACGCGGATCAATATGTAGATTGTCTTTTACAGGCATAAATGATTTATAATCATTTACGCTATGCACAAACAAAACATATTAGAGGAATGCTCTTATTGTATGTAACTAATTTACTTTGGCAGCTTATATTTTCGTAATGTGACTTACCACCGACAAGGAAAGCAACGTATTGAACTTTTGCTATCTACAGAACACACGAACCTAGGAGCCATTTTATTGCATCCAATTCAATATGGAGAAGAATGACTTGAAACTTACGTGGGAAGAAATAAACCCCGTTACCCAGAAGACGAAGAATAAAAAAAATATCGGACGTAAAATATTCACGGTACATTTGGTCACTGACGTCACAGAAACTTCATTGATGGACTCTATCCATAGGAAAATGGATTACTTCGAAACAGATGAGTAAAGGAAATTAGGTTGTGGCGTTGTGCGCAGAATGACTTCCATTTTGTAGAGCTTGTCGGCTTTACGCGGCACGGTGTGTGGTTCACGGAGATAAGAACTACTAGGCCCTAACATGGTTATAGATTCCCCCAAGTGTGGAATAGACTCCCATTGATTAAACGCTAACAACCGTGCACACCACAATCTGTCCCTCCTGCATTTCGCATTGACTAGAAATTGAATTATGGGCACATCCCACTCGCATGCTATGCTCCTGAGAACCAACTTCCAAAGAATTGGTGTGTTCTTAATTTGGCGCTTCTGTAATTAAATGAAACTAAATGAACTCCATAAACGTAAACATGCATGTCAAATGTAGTATTCGTGCTGAATGTTCAAAATTTAAAAAAAAAGTCTTAAATATAAGACTGTGTGGCTTTGGTTAGAGACAGATTCGCGGTTAATACACGTCAAATTTTGGGATAAAACGGGCAGATTTTGTATAAATATCGGGAACCTTACTGGTAGAAACTCAGTCTGCCTTCTAGTAACAACGGACACGGAAGACTTGAGCGCTACTTCATCGTCTTCCGGAGCAACACTTCGACTGAGAGACCAACTAAACAGGTGAGATGAAATTGCGGATGCTTTGTTGCGTCATTCACAGTTGCACTGAGCGTGAACAGCAACAATCTCGACGATAAAAACATAAACTTAAACATTCAAGGGCTATGAAAGTTTAGTTTCAGGCCTGGGTGACCTAAAGTGTGTCTACGCATAATTTTTTTAATTTTTGAAGAAAAAACACCCATCGCATGAAATTGCTGTCATAAAATATTTCATTCACACAAAATATATTTTCAAAACTTTCTTCCTATTCCACGAATA